GCAAGTAATGAGATGCTGTATCTTGGATGCTTTGGTTCTTGGTCTATTACCTTCTTTGTTTAGAGGCAGACATCATCTTCTTTAGAATGCTTAAAAAGTTTTTAGAGTCTGCTAGCATTTTGGGGCCCCAGAGGACAAAGCACAGTAGTATCAGTGAGACCAGGAATGTCTTTCTCCCCCAGAGAGAGACACAGCGATTGGTTACCTAGTGGGGGATTGAGCCTGCAACCTAGGAATATGCCCTTGACCGGAATTGAACCCGGGACCCCTCAGTCTGAAGTTAGATGCTCTATCCACTAAGCCAAACAAGTTAGGGCCTTAATTTTATCAGTGCATTGTTTCTTCAGAGCAATATACCAACATTTGTGTTGCAGGACATGTGAAGCAAGTAATGAGATGCTGTATCTTGGATGCTTTGGTTCTTGGTCTATTACCTTCTTTGTTTAGAGGCAGACATCATCTTCTTTAGAATGCTTAAAAAGTTTTTAGATTCTGCCAGCATTTTGGGGCCCCAGGGGACGAAGCACAGTAGTATCAGTGAGCCCAGGAATGTCTTTCTCCCCCATTTTTCGGGAAAGAGATGTTCAGCTTCATCCTGAAGCAGCCTACAGCCAGCATGTCAGACTCAAGGCATGTGACCTGTCGGTCACGAGTTTGACATGCTTAGCCTACAGCCTTGAAGGCACCACACACACACACACACACACACACACACACACAAAGAGATCAGTTGAGTTTTACGCTCAGTGGCAGCAGCATCAATTTTACTGGCATGTGTACTTATCTCTTATGCCAAATTTAGTTTATTTATGAGTCAGAATATAGGAGACAACATTTTAATTTAATCACATTAATCTTGCTTTACTTTCCTAGAACTTACTTTTTAATTTGTCCCATTTTCACTCACGACAGTAATGCTTTGCTCTCTGGCTATTTCCTGTTTTGAAGTTTCTTTTTTGACAGTCTCTATTAGATTCCTAGGGCTGCTGTCACAAAATACTACTAAGTGTGTGGCTTAAAATAACAGAAATTTATTCTCTCACAGTTATGGAAACTAAAATCCAAATTCAAGGTATCAGCAGGGCCATGACCTCTCACAGCTCCAGGAATGGACCCTTCCTAGCTTCTGGTGGCTACTCCTCATCAAACTCTGTGTTCTTGGGTGACTGTCTCTGTGTTTCTTGTATATTCTCTTATAAGGACAGCAGTCATTGGATTAGGACACACCCTACTATTAATTTAAGTAACTTTATCTTAAGTAATTATATGTGCGAATACCCTATTTTCAAATAAGATCACAGTTTTATCTTCTAGGTGGACATAAATTGTGAGGGAGCACTATTCAACCCAGTCTACCCTCTGGACCCCCAAACTCATGTCCATCCCTCTTACAAAATCCACTCACCTCCTCCCAACATCATCCAAATATCTTAACCCTTTCCAGCATGAAATCTTAAGTCCAAAATTTCATCTAAATATTAACTTAAAAGTCCCAAATTTCACCACCTACATCAGGTATAGTATGGGTCCCTCCTGGGACAACATTCTGCTCTTTCCATAGACCTATCAAACTACAAAGCAAGTTACCTGTTTCCAAAATACAATAGTGCAACAGGTATAGGATAGATAATCCTCATTGTGAAAGGGAGAAAATGGAAAGAATCCAGGGATTACTAGTGCAAAGGAAGCTGGCAATGCAGCTGGGCAAATTTCATGAGACTTCAAGGCCTGAGAGTAATGCTAATATTTAAAATATATATTTTTATTGATTTTTGGAGAGAGAGAGAGAGAGAGAGAGAGAGAGAGAGAGAGAGAAGCATTGATGTGAGTGACACACAGATCGCCCCCACCTGAGATGGAGCCCACAATCCAGGCATGTTCCCTGACTGGGAATCAAACTGACAACCCCTCTGTGCTCAGGACCATGCCCAACCCACTGCGCCACACTGACCAGGACCTGAGAGTAATTCTTTATGTTTTACCTTTCTCTATTACTTTAAACTTACTTGACACTCTGGGGCAGTAACCTGCCTTTCCTGGTTTCTATATCAATATTCTTGGAGTCATTTTCTTTCATTTTGTCCCATCTCTGTCTCTCCCAATTCATGTTAGCAGTGTTTCTGTTAGTATAAAATTCTTAATAATTTTGTCTTCTCTGGACATTCAGGGAATACACACCATTAGTCAAGAGTACCCTCCCCAGATTCTTCCTTAATAACTCCATTTGGAATCCTGACTTTTCCTGAGCTGGTGATTGGGCCCTAAGTCGAATGTCTAATCATTATAGCAAATGACTGTCCAGCCACACCTTTGTCCTTGTTTCCAGAGCACGATTACTGGATAGACAGAAAAATTTCCCAACTAAGTACTGGTTTCTTTTTGCTTAACAGTTCATTCCTCAATTAATCTCTTTTATCTCACATTTTACTGTAACCAACAAAGAGAAACCCGGCAGCACATATCACTATTTTCTTGGAAATTTCTTCAGCTAGATAGTCCAGTTCATTACTGATAGGTTCTACTTCCTGTCCAACAATTCATTTGGCCAGGTTTCCTGCCTCTTTATAACAAGGATTGCCTTTCAGTGTCCATTAGCATTTCCGTCTGTGACCTCAGGACAATCACCTTTAACATTCACATTTCTATCTACTTTCTGTTCATGATAATACAGCCATAAATTTATTCTCTAAGGCGATAGACACTTTTCTCTGCAGCTATTATTCTTTCTGAAATACCAGCCGAATCACCTTTAATGTCCATATTTTTAATAGTCTACTCGAGGCAATCAAGGCTTTTAAAAATCATGCATTTCAAAACTCTTCCAGCTTATTCCCATTCGCCAATTCAAAAGTCACTGCCATAGCCTTAGTCAGGTGTATGTTGTCATATCACCTCACTTCCCTTCCGGGTACCAAAATCAGTATTGGTTTCCTAGGACTGCCAGAGTAAAAAAACAACAAAAACAAACCATAAACTGGGATGGTGGCTTAAAGGAATAGAAATTTATTCTCTCCCAGCTCTGAAGACCAGAAATACAAGATCGAGGTATCAGCAGGGCCATGGTCTCTGATGGCTCCAGGGGAGAATTCTCCCTTGTCCCCAGCCAGCAAGCCTAGACAAAGGCTCCAATCTCTACTTTTATCACCATGTGGCATGCTCCCAGTGAAACTCTTTCTCCCAGTTTACTCTTTTTGTAATGACACCAGCTTTTGGATCAGGACCCATTCTAATCCAATATGACATCATCTTAAGTAATTACATCTGCAAAGACCCTCTTTTCAAATAAGATCATATTCTTTTATTAAAGGGGATGTGACTACTGGGGGAGATAATATACAACCCAGTGCTCAGCCTACACTGTTTTTCTATTTATTCTATAACTTGGATGGGATTTATTTTTTCTGAATAAAGTGGTTCTATGCCTTATCTGACTCTGGTTATATTATCTAATATGTGTGTGTATGTGTGTTGTGTGTGTGTGTGTGTGTGTGTGTATACATATATATGGCATATTTTGAATACATCTAAAATATTTTAGATATTGATTTCTAAATTTGGATTATTATCAAGAAAATGTAGAGTGCCTTTGCATTGTAAAGTATCAATGGATAGAAAATATTCAATTTCTGGTAGGACTGAAAATTTAAGAGTATTGTGTCAACTGCAAAAAAAAGACAAGTGAGTCTGTTAAAAAAAAAAAGCAGGTTGTAGACTATAAAATATTCCTCATATGTCTTTGGCAAGAACTAAATTATCTCCTCTGAATTTTGAATTAAGCATAGTAACAAGGTAATTTACATATTAGTTATTTTCTTTCCCCTAAACAAATATTCTGGATATCCTCTACTCTCTTTACAATGTTAAACATCACAACAGGCATCATTTAAACATGTGCACGAGGCAGACTTATTTTCAGGTGTTTCCATCTGTTGTGGGAATATACTTTAAGAACAGGCGAGAAACGTACACAAATTAAACAAGAAGCCAGGGGATAACAGAAAAATAATGAAAGAAACATCTGTAGGCCAACAATGTGGAAAAAATGTTTGAGCTCCTGTTATTAACTACTCAACCTGTTTTACATTGGAATCCTGCATAATTACATTTCAGGGGAGGGACAAACAACAGATGTTGAAAAAGGTTGAAAATAAGAAAGTGAGAATATTTAAAATAAAGAGCTACTTTTGCTCACTGACAGACATTTCTTGAAAGCATTTTAGACGATAATCAATTTCATATATTCACTACACATATAAATAAGATTAATTCAAACAAAATGTTCTCTTTTTCTAAGTCTAAGGAATTGATCAATTATACATATCAACAATGCACCTAAGTTACATGGTCATAAAAAGCAAAACAAAAATGTAATATTTCCTTACTTTTATATTGTATCAATGTTTTTTTTTGGTAAAAATACAGTAGAAACTGTTATAAAATACATATTTTCTCATTACTAAAGTCAATACATTTTTAAAAATTGAAGGTTTCTATGTGATTGACTAAATAATTAAATTATAAATAGTCTGTTGTTTCAAGTTCCAGACAATATACGTTTTGTAAGTAAATTAAGATGTAATAAATGTTTTTATTAAAGCCTTGCTTTCTAGGGAAATTAAAAAATAGGCAGTTTACAACTTTAATATTGCTGGCTTCCTTGTTTACATCTACCCACTATTGCTGAAAAGTTTTTATTTTATTTAGGATAAATGAATCCATCATCATCACTAAAGTATTTTTCCCATCAACCTATGCATTAATGTTACTTTGTACTGTTTCTATCTCATCTAAACTGAAATTATCCAAAACAGTAATTTTCTTCCAATAAGAATAAGTCATCTATTTGGGGAAATGCCAAATGACCTTATTTTTTTAGGAATTAGTCAATCTAAAGAATTTTAAAAGATAATTGGAAATCAATAAAATATTCATGATTCAATTGGCCCTTTTTTCCCACTTGGTTTTTCTATTTGTTAACTAAAAATATTTTATTTTTCAAGCATTCCCGACTTTGCTTTCCTTTGCTATCCTCACCCTACACACCATCACAAGTAGACTTCAGTCTGTTGATCTGCTTCCTACAGGTGAGCAATTTCTTCATCTGTTAGCTTTCTTCTCTGTGATCTGAATTTTACTTGTTAGATGATGGCACTCATAAGTGTATGTGCACACAAAAAATGGCTTTCTCTATCTATAGCCATGCAGAACTTGTAGACTTTATTTTTTAAAAGAAAATATAATTAAGAAATTTATTCGACTATACCTGCTTTGGTACTATTAATATTTCAGGAAAAGCTGTGTAATGTTAGGAGTTGAAAAGAGCATCTAAACATTTACATAGAGGCTTTTCAAGTTTATTATTCTTAAAGGAGTTTTAAGTGGCTCAATTTTCAATTATTCAATATGAAAAATCTTTCACTCATAACAATTTTACTTTGGAAACAGTGCAGGAAATGCAAAAGAAAAATGGATGGAATGAGAAGTTGCCTGGTACAGGAAAGGGTTTTGATTTTTTTTTTTTGAGGGGGCGGGTGTTAGTTGTGGGTATAGAGCAGCCTGCTTCACTGTTACAACCTGAAGAACTGTGTTTCACTTGACAAACTGGGTCCCCAAATTCTTCTTTTATTTTGAATAGGCAATTACACTCCATATTAGACAAGTATTGTTTTGTGGAAATATATTAAAGGCTTTTATGCACATTACTTTGTAAAATCCTTACACACCACCTTAATATAGATTCCTAAAGGCAGGGCAGAATGAAAGTCATATGAGTTGTAATAGTTAATGAAGCTCAATATTAAAAATTCCCGAGCTCAATACATGTCGCCAATATATTTAATCTCTAAGTATGCTCTGGATGTGACAGATACTCTGAGAAAACACATTAAAATTTGAAATAACTGGATGGATTAAGGGAAAGGGAGGATGGAGTATCTATCTCAGGTGAAATTTTAGCTCACCACATGATTTCCTGTATCTGGAGACTCTATAGTCCAAGTCTTTGAGTCATTTGAATGCTTTAGAGAGATTTGTTTGGTTCCTCAGTAGTTTAATCCCTACCTAAGAGAAGCAAGCCTGTTGAGAAAACCTGTATATCTGGTTGTTGCTGTGCTTGAACTATATACATGTATGTTATAGCAATCTGACAATCACAGTTATAATTATCTGTGTGGCTTTATTCATGCCACAATGAAGAGAAAAGCTTGCCTTATTTTCTGTCTGGAAATGAATGGAAATTGAGGAGAAAATATAAGCAAAATTATTTCATAACATTAGAGTTAGAAAAGTTATACTTGTTAATATTTTTTGGGTGATATAGAAACTTTAACATGTATGCACACGTGCGCACACACACACACACACATGCAACGACATAAAATATTCCTGCTACCTAACTTAAATAGTTGTGAGTTCACTTTCAGTAAATTATAATCAGTTGGGAAAAGGAGTTATTTTCTAATTTTGTAAAAATGTAATTCAAGGATAACAACAAAGCATTTTAGAGCAACATTTCTTTTCAATATTTTATGTGCTTCTGAAAATCTTTTCTCTGACACCCATTTTCTTATAATGTACATGTGTATGCGCCCTGGTGCATGTATATGTCTGTGCATGTGCACACCATGACCATCTACCAACCTAAAACACAAAGCTATCGGAGAGTTATAACTGAACCTCAGGAACTAGAAGCTGTCGTTAGAGGTTTAGGCCTTTATTTTTACATCTATGAAATGGTTCTAGAATAATTTTGTTTTTAGGCAAAGCTCCTTCCACTCATTTCCATCTAGTATAGGGATGTATATTGTCATGCGGTTATGGACATAAGGATATGCATGCTTGGTTTTTAGTTGAATTTCTTTGTTGATAGTTAACTAACATATTGGAAGTTATCATATTTATTTTCAAAGTATCAAGATAGTGAATCTTGTGAATATTTTTCATTAACATATATGTTATGATGAAACTCTTAAATTTAGAACTCAATTACCAGAGCTTCCTCAATGTAATTTTTGTATATATATGTATTTGACTATTATTCTAGAATTATTATATATAATATAATAATTTTATATGTATGTTATAAACTAATCAAAATAACTATATCTTTTTGTTTAAATCACTACTATCTCCCAAATACATGGTTTATATGGATACAATCCTATGCTTATGGATAATATGTAGGTCAATGAGTTAAATATGTTAAATAGTATACTTTTAAAATAAATAACCAATCTTATAACACATAATTTATATTTGTAACTTTTATACAAAATGATGTGCAGATATATGTATTTTTAATAATAAAACAACTATACCCAATAGATTGGAAATTTCTATTTTCTAAGTAGTTCTATATGAATGATTCTTCCATTTTGTAATAATGCTTACCAAAATGACCATGTTTACAATAATAATTAGCTAGATAATTTTCTGTTGTGATTATGTACATTTTTATTTATTCAGTGAAAAAAAATTAAGCAAATAAACATTAACAAGTATATGCATTTGTTAATCCTCACCTGAGGTTATTTTTCCATTAATTTTTAGAGAGAGTGGAATGGAAGGGGAGAGACTAAGAGAGAGAGACACATTGATCGGTTGCCTCCTGCATGACTAGGGCAGAGGATAGAGCCTGCAACCAAGGTATGTGCCCTTGACAATACTCAAACTCGGTATCTTTCAGTTCGTGGGCTGATGCTCTATCCACTGAGTAAAACCGGCTGGGCAAAATATGTGTATATATTTTAATTTGTCAAATCACATAGCAAATTTTTATTCTATTTCTAGGTAGACCCTGGATTTAATAGTAGATAATTTTAGATCAAGGCATACACTCAACTGAACCTGAAAAATTAAAATAAATCACTTATAATAGAAGGTTAGAGTGCGACTTGCTCTTGCTCAAATTTAAATTGTTTTCCCCTTTGTGCAGACACTGTGATGCCAACTATGTAAAAGGTTACACATTCTCCAATTGACTTAAATCCTTCAACATTCTAAACGCATGAGAGAGTTCAATCAGAAAAGCACTGCTATTTTCCTAAAGATTACAAAGAGATTTGCTGTAAAGGAAAGTGTACAAATTTGACTTGTTAGAATTTAAATTTATTTATTTTTCTTATATGGTCGAATTGCCTGAAGAATTTATTTGGACCAGATTATGGAGGGCTTCGTACACCAAACTGAGCAGTTCAGATTATAACCCTTTCAGCAATGGCAAAGGAAATTGTTAAGCAGCTCCTCAAAAATAAGTTTGGCAGCACAAAGCATCACTTCTTTCTGAGACTGAGCATGCAAATTTTTAAATGGAAGTACTCAACTATACCATGCCAGAGTTTAAAAAGGCTGTCTCAATGAATTCTCCCTCGGATGTCAATATGAATTTCCTCCGGATTAGATTTAGATTATATGTGCGAAAATAAAATCAGTTCTTCTATGCTTATATTCCCCCCGCCCCATTATTATTACTCATGAGCAATACATTTCACTTATATTGTCTGCTCATTTTCTGAGAGTGGTTGATGATCAATTCAGTCAGGAAAGTACACTCTAAAGTTAGAAAGTATTCAAAGCAACGCTGTAGACACCCTGTGATCTTCATGCTGCATTATGTATGGGTGGGCTTTCATGTCTTTTAAAAGCACATTTTTATATTTGCTCTGCTTTAAGGATGGTCTTGTCCAATTCCTTTGCAACCCTTGGTTTGATTACATACCAGGGTGATCCAGAGGGCCAATATCCTATTTTTCTATATGTGTTTCCTGACCTCTTTTCCCAATTTCTACATTGCTTCTGTGTGTTTTAATGATTACAAATTATTAAAGCTGTTACTAGAAAAATGGTTTGCCATTGCCAGTAAAACCCATTACAAGAAACACTTCTGTGTATTTACTCTAGAACATAGATATTGAGTGTATTGATTTTGCTCAAATTTTCATTATTGGGATGACCCAATCATACAGGATAAAAAACAGCTTTCAATAAACTTACAGTACACTAAAGGAAATGGCATAATGGTTTTAGAGAAGTAATTTCCAGAACAGGCTTATTTAAAATGTCAGTTATCTTTCCTACTCTTTATATATTTTAAAACTATCTATAATAATAATAATAATAGCAATAATAGTGCCAGTATTAGCAGCTTAGTGGTAGGAGTTGTTTTAGTAAAATCAGGGCCAAATTGCCTGTATTTTATTCTGAAGTTATTTTTGGGACACTATCAATTTTAATACTTCTATAGGAAAAAACTTCATTTCACAAGAGGAATTTTTTGGTGAAAATACATATTACTCATCAGTGTGTATGTGTGTGCATACACATTGAGGACATTTAACTTCAGTTTATTTTTAATTGTAATATAAGTAATTTTTGTAGGAATCATTTATGGAGAGGCGTAGTTTCATATATGTTTCCCACTTCTTTAACTCTTAAAATAAAATGTATTCTGTATTATTTCTCTCTTTAAATATGTTATATATGTGTATATAATTGATCTGAAAAAACACACCCATTTGTTAATTTGGAACCATGTCCATAAGATAACTTCATTGAAACTTTAGGTCTGTTTCTAGAGTGGAGTTCTATAAATTTAATAAATAACTTCTGGAGATTAGAATGTCATTAAACTATAAAAATGTTAGAATCTTTAAAAAAAAAATCTATCTTCTGGGATTCCCAAATCCTATTGGTTATTAAATAATAAGCAGGGAAGGATTAGTTCCATCTGAATGAACTTTTTTCTGAGAATACCAAAAATGATACCTGATTTGGTTTACTTGTCTCTAGCAATTGAAAACAAACAAGTGCTAGAAACAAGATGAACGAGGGGTTTAACCTGGTAAATAGATGTACATTCTAGTAGAAATCAGATAGCAGGTTTGAGAGAAAATCACTAAGACTACCTCCCTTGCTTCTTTCACAGACTTTGGCTTAATAGGCATGTTTTCGTTGACCTTCCTTACAGGATTACCACTTTGCTAGGACGATAACTTGAATTTTAGATATATTCATCCATGTCATCAAAAATGGTGTCATTATCAAAGATAGGGTTAGCTTTCACAGGCAATAAAAGCATAAGGAAAAT